CCTCAAAGGTGAGTGCGGCGGGCAGCCGGTCCCCTGATACCCTACCACAATCCAGCACCGGGATTCCTGGGTCTTGCGTTACCCCTCCTTGCTTGGGGCGTCCTCCGGTATCCTGGACCCGGGAAAGTCAGCCACTTGCGGGACTCTGCACAGTGGGGCTTGACGTGCGCTTGGGAGGGCACCCGCCCCATAGCTTCCCCCTCTCCACCAGCGTTCTTCGAAAGCGTCTGGCAGCCAGTCTGTCCGCCAGGCTGGGTGAGACTGGTTGTGCTGCGGAGAGGTGCTCCTTAGCAGTTTGGGGGCCTTGAGCTCGTGCAGGGCGCAGGCGCCTTTTCCTGACACTGGGTTCACCGCTCTCGCTGGGGACTGGGCTCCGAGCCTTGCTGATGTATCTGGCATGATCTGCAGGTCGAGACCCTCCCTCCCCCTAGCGTGGCGCCTTGGTGTCCCCCTTCCTCCCTCCTAGACAATTACAGTGCTTTAGGCTGTGTCTTTACCAACCCCTCATGCCTTTTTGACCCTGGTGAGTCCCTCCCCCTTCCTTTCCTTTTTATTTTATTGCTTTTTATTGTTTTCCTCTGGCCTCCTCCCCTCCTGGTCCTAGGCCTTTCTCAAGCCTAATTTGGAGCTGACAGCTTTCCCACCCCTTTGACCTCCTGCCTTCCTGGGGCTGAGATTATCCCTGGGACTGGTCCTGAGCTACTACTACTGGGTGGGAGGCCGCCAGACAGCCAGTGCTGGGGGTTGGGGGCGGGGATGGGGAAGGGAGACAGGCAGTGGTGATGGGGGCAATGTGATGTAGAGGTTCTGTGACCTTTGATTGGAGACCTCCAAGAGCTTCTACCAGGCCTGCCCATTTTACCTGCTGGGAACATAACTTTAGCTTCCTGTTGTGGGTGGGTGATTGACTCTCAAACTCCAGAGCATTGATTTCTGGGTCACTTCCTGTGACTGCTCCTGCCTTGTAACCTCAAATGTATGGGAACCTTGGTTCTGGTGCAGAGATGAGAGCTTAAGCTGGACCGGGCCCCCAAGGTCCTATCAGCCTTATTACTGGACACCTTGGACTGTAACACTGATGTGGTTTGATACTCAGGTGCAACTGAGTTTCAAGGCAACCCAACTTGGGGAATTTCACACACCTCAGAGGCTCGTGGGTAGCTCCCCATCTATTAACACCTCTTGGTGACTGTCCCTTCTTCCCACTGGGAAGATAACAGAGGTGGATGATAATCCTCCTCCTTACTGCCCCAGCCCTGGGGTGCGGGGGAGTGGAAAATGGCCTTTTCCAGCTCTACAGAGGTCTTACTGTTGGCTCTAAATCGCCTTCTTTTCCTGATGTCATTTTTTGATTTAGTCTTTTTACTTAGCAATGCGTATAGGAAAAGCGTCTGCCTCCCCAGCAGCGGTGAAGATGTTCCAGGAACCCTCTTGGTCCTGCCTCTGATCCCCACCCTTCTCCAAGAGGGCTGTGGACTGTTTTCCAGTTATTGCTACAGGAAGTAGTCAGCTTGGTGAACTCTGAAAAATTATGTTTAAATTTTTTTAAATGAAATAACATATCCAGGAAAAAATTTTTTTTTTAGAGAGAGAATTTTAATATTTATTTTATAGTTATTGGCGGACACAACATCTTTGTTTTGTATGTGGTGCTGAGGATTGAACCCAGGCCACATGCATGCCAGGCGAGCGCGCTACTGCTTGAGCCACACCCCCAGCCCCCTGGGACAAAATTTAAACAGGTCAAAATTTGAAAATTTCATTGCCTGTGTGATGAAAATTGGGTCTTCCACACACCCTTAAACTCCATTCTACTCCCTAGACAGCCACCAACTATTTCTTATTTGTCATTATTTCCCACAAGTATCTTTTTATTTTAATTTTTTGTAGTTGTAGATGAACAGAATGCCTTTATTTTATTTGTTTTTTATTTTTCTGTGTTGCTGAGGATCAAACCCAGTGCCTCATGCGTGCTCTGCCACTGAGCTACAGCCCCAGTCCTCCCACAAGTATCTTTAAAAAATAAATTTATTTTAAATATATTCCCTGTATCTAGATCTTAGACACTTGTCCACATCAGGACATACATGTCCCTTCACTTGTGATTACCCTTGGTCTTCTCTGGTGATGGCCAGCAGGTTGCTTCCAGCCTTACTGTTTGAAGCAGTGAGATAGAGGATACCTTTGCCCATATATTCATGTATGTGCACTATCTTATCTTTCCATAAAATGATAAGAATTACTAGGTCAAATTTGTGTGCATTTGAGATTTCAGTAGAAATTCCTACCCTTATAACACCCTGTACTTCAAACTGGTTTTTTTTTTTTTTTTTTTTTTTGCCAGAGGAAAAATTCTTTATCTTGTCTAACTCATGTCTAGATATGAGTTCAGATTTTAACCTGGTGGCATTCAGATCCTGGGGCAATGCTTTTTGTACTCTCTAAATCCCCCCTCCAAAACCAAGACTCACTGCAATGAGATGGTGATTGACTGAATTGTGTGGCCAGTGCTTATTTATATATAGTATCTACTCACTGCCTCTGTTCCTCTGGCAATGTGGTGATGATTGAAAACAGACTCACTCTGAGGAAGTTTGAAGCCCTAAGAATTGCCATGGCTCTTGCAACGTGAGTGAGGCACCGGAGAGGAATGTTCTGTCTCCACACCTCTGATGGGAGTGGGTGGAAGACCCATCTAATCTCCTGACCCCAGCTTGAAGAGGCAGGGCCCAGTTTATCTGTCTCTCTACTACACTGAGACGCCTTGTCTGCCTGCCTTATTTTGTCAACAGGCAGGCAGGATCTAGCCCACACCCACGTCTCTCCAACTGACAGCCAGCTTTTAAATGATCTGTTTGAAGCCCAGACATAGGGTGGCCCAAAGGCTTCTTTTCATCAAGTCTCATCTCTCGAAGTTTTGGAGGGACTATACCCATCTGGATGCAAATGCTTGCTCCCAATCACTTGTTTTGTCTCCTAGAATCAAAGTGTTGAGACCTGGCATGGGAAATGATCAGGTGGTTGACTGACTAGGGACACCTCCTCTGGGGAAGATGTGGGCCAGAGTTAAGTCTGGCACACTCTACCTCCTAGAAGGGAAGGGGACTGGGGGACATGAGGGAGAGGAAGCTACACCACCAAACCTCTATTTCTGCCCCCCTTTATCCATACTCCAGCTGGGCCTCCTGTCACCATGACAGGGAACATGGTCATTGTGGAGGACCAGAAACTCATCCGGGGAGGTACGGTGGGCTATTTGCTGAAGTGACCATGGGAGAGATTCGGGTATGCTAAATGGGGGCAGGGGCAGTTCCAGCAAGCTGAGAGGAAGCAGTAATGGCAAGATGACTCATTCTAGGAATTGGCTGCAGCTTCTGGGAGAGAGTTGCAGACTGCCATGTAATCCATTAACCATTTGTTGACTACAGAGTTGAAAAAAGACAGCACCTCCTCCATTGAGGGTCCGTCACAATACCAAAACGCAAGAGAGAAAAGGAGTTTTTTTGGAAATGGCATGCTCTCAGAATGCGTATTTAATTCATGATTTGATACTAAGTGAATTCTCTGGGCCATTAAAAGACAAGTGGGCTTTCTGGAGGCTCTCGGAAGTGCCTGAGGTTGCTCTGGTTGGAAATAGAGTTCCTAAGCAAAGCTGGCCTGTTCGCCCACTAGCCCTTGGCTTCCTGAGCGGCCCTCGGCCATTTTTCATTTGGTTCTTCCCCACTTGAGTATAGTGGCCTTGAGAAGACAAATTTCTGTGACCTAGAGAGAGTGGGTTTTAGCCTTAAGTCATCAGTCTGGAGAAGTTTAAATGTAATGCTAAGATTCTTAATGCTCTTAGTCCATGTATCCTTTTGGAGCCTTGGAGAAAGGTTGTGGGGAGGATAATAAATAAGATAGAAAGGGTAGTAGTCACAAAGGAACAGAGACAGGCTTTACTTATGGGGGCTGGGAATTTAGATCAGAAGTCCTCATTCCTCCCATTTGGCCTAGAAGGTAATTAACTGGATTGATGGCTCTAAATTGGACCTAGGGAAGGGATTGTCAGCAGAGTTCTTAACACCTCGAGGGTGAGAAGGGGCAAGGCTGGTTTACTGTTCTGATTTGAATCCTTGCATGAGTCCCTATTCTCTTATAAATGATAGGGTGCCATCTGTAATCCTGCTTAGAGCAAATGCGCTGGGGAAAAACAGTTTAAAAGAATTTCTTATAAATTAATGAAAATTTTCATAATCACACCTTCATTTTGAATAAAAAATGAGAAAATGGCTTTTGTTTTTCTGGAAGGGTTTAGTTAATATTTGCCAGATGCCAGATTATTTCTTTCACAGTTTAAGCTGCTTCTGATAGACACAAAAAGTTAATCATTGCCTTTCTGAACTATAGCCTTTTAGGGCTATGTGTGCACACACATGAGCGTGCGTATGCACGCATCCAATTTCTATCCTAAAACATCTGTCTCACTTTTTGTATGTTCATTTGTTTTTTCTAGGGGGATATGAGACCTTCTATTCGGAATATCCTGAGTGTTGTGTAGACGTAAAACCCGTTTCACAAGAGAAGATCGAAAGCGAGAGAGCCCTCATCAGCCAGTGTGGGAAACCAGTGCTAAGCATCAACTACAGGCCAGCTTATGACCAGGTATGTAGCTGCCAGTTCCTGTCTCATTCCTTCCTTCCTCAGCCACCTGACTTCTCTCCCAGCTCAGCAGCTGTGGTTTGTTCTCTGTGAATCAGGGTGCTGGCACCATCCTCGAACTTGGAGAGCCTCTATAGCTTGCCAGTTGGAGTTCCTGTCCAAGAATAAATGGGCATCCTTCCAGCAAACAAGCTGACAAGAGCAAGTGAGCCCTGGGATGCTGGATAGCTTCTAGAGAAAAGGGGAAATGAAAGATACTTTGTTAATGGCTGCCTTGGGAGGTTCAGAGAAGCTTAGAAATACTGGCTTAGGTTTCCCTGAAAACATTTCAGAGTTGACTTTCAGGCTTCCTGTGTTCTTTGTAATTGCTGATCATCTGCAGTTTCTATACACCAACCCAGTACTATCAAGGTGTGTCTTGGTGTTTTTAACTGCAGTGGGGTTGGAGGTAGGGGGAAAGGTGGCTGTGCAAGAGAAACCCCTGTTTCGGATGGCTCAGCAGGCTCCCCTGAGGGTCTCTGATGCTTGTAATTCTACAAATTCTGATACCAGAGGAGATCAAGAGACGCTGGGGAGCTTCTTGTTCCTCTAAAGGTGTGGGGGTTTATTTCCTTCAAAGAATCGTGCATTGTAACCACCCATTAAAGGTCGTGGGTTACTTAACATGATGTTGGAAGATGGGGAAAGGCAGAAAAGAGTTCAGATTCTGTAGAAACCAGAGCTGAAAACCCACCTTGACTTTTCACCAGAGAGAGGAAGCACTGCTGTAGCTAGTGAGATGACTGATTTACAAAAGTCTTGCAGCTGCTTATGGTAGTTTCAGAGTTAGAACCTCCTTTTTTTCTTTCTTCCTCCCAACTTTTTTTTTTTTTTTTTTTTTTTTTGTCCCACAGTACTGGGGATTGGACCAAGGGCCTCACACATGGCTAGGCAAGAGCTCTACCACTGAGCCACACCCCTAGCCCGAGAACCCCATTCTCTTAACTCCCTGTTGTGGTTCCTTTCAGGACCTCCTCCTGTTTTTCACATGCCCCTGGCTACACACCTGGGTAGTGGGAGGAGCTTTTCACACTGTCCTCCCCAACTAAGAACATAGCCAAAGCCTAAGAAGGAAGACTTCTAGATGCTGCCAAAAACGCCAGTTCCCTGTCTGAGTAGAACTCTGCCCCTAGGGACAGACTTCCAAATAGAACCAGGTGACTTGGTCTTGAATGGGATTCTTGGTCAGGAATCCTATTTATTATGTTGGCCAGGTGCCAGGGTTATGACTCAGTTTGTTTTCCTTAATGGAAAATCTTCAGTGTATGATGAACCCTTGGCTTTCAAGTCATGAGCATCCAGCCTAGCTGGATTTCTATTTTTGTTTGTTTGTTTTTTTGGGTTGTATTTTCCCCATTTCTAAGAAAGTGAAAGAGAAATAAAAATTGTCAGAGTGTGTGAAAGCACGCAAGACCTTTGGCCACGCGAAGGTTGGGGAGGCCCTGATGTGTCTTCAAGATCATCTGGGGAACCCCCGTACCACTTCTGCACAGAGGAGTGAGGCGAGGCTGTTAACCTTTGAGGTTTCGAAGGGCCGTTGGTATCTTCCTCTTAAGTGTAAATGGGAGGTTCAGAAAGGGAAAGAAATATAATTTGAGAGGTATTTGTTGGGCTAAGCTCTAGGGGAAGTTGGGTAGGGTTCCAAGCCTGGTGTCCATGTTTTCCAGGCCCTCAGGAAAGGGAGAGACCTAGTCAGCCATCCTGCCTGCTCCGTGTATAGGTGTCCATTGGTGTCTAGCTGGTCAGTTGCTGAGAGAAACTGACCAGATTGTGCCTCTCACTGTTTTCCAAAGAACACTACCATCTTTGCTGTTTTCTGGGTTTCTAATTAGTGGGCAGCTGGGTCCACAGAATGGGTCCTGTTTAGGCCAGAACCCGGACTGCTGAGATACTCTGACCTCCCAGCATCTGTCCTGTGTCTTCCCCAGGGAGAAAATTCTTATTCTATTTGTTTATTCTTCCGCCTCATGAAAATGCTCTATAATGTATCAGATTTTAATGCACCCATTATCCCATTTATGACTTACCCATTATCCCAGGAGGATAGGGATTATTATCCTTGGTTTACAGATAAAGGTTCAGAGGTTAGGGAGGCTTAGAGGTTTTCAGATAAAGGTTCAGAGGTTAAGGAGGCTCAGAGGTTAGGGAGGCTGCCCAAGGTCATACCAGCTAGGAAACGTGGAGCTGGGACTTGATGGAGAAAGAGCCGTTTTACCTGGTGCCCAGGCCCAGATTCTCAGCCTCTGTATCACATTGCCGCTGGGAAGGCTGCTTCGTATGTAGGGGAGTTTGGGGAGATGTCAAGGAGAGGGTATAAATTCACTTCTCTTTAGAGATAGAGGATATTTTACCTGAAATGCTTGATTTCTCATACTATCACTGTTGAAATGGTCTCAGACAAGGCCTTGAGACTTGAGTTTGGGTTTCAATCCTATCTCTACCATTTGATAAGCTCTGATGTGGGCAAGTTATTTAAACCTATCTGAGCCAGGTGGTGCATACCTGTAATCCCAGCAGCTCTGGAGGCTGAGACAGGAGGATCAAGAGTTCAAAGCCGGCCTCAGCAATGGCAAAGCACTTAGCAACTCAGTGAGACCCTATCTTTAAATGAAATACAAAATAGGGCTGAGAGTGTGGCTCAGTGGTCGAGTGCCCCTGAGTCCAATCTAAGCCTCAAGTCACCCTTCTATAAAATGGGAACAACATTGCCTACTTTATAGATTTGTTGTGAAATTGGCACTATATAGGTACATTCAAAGTGTCAAGCCCACATGCCAGCCATTGTAAGTGCTAATAAAAATGCGATTGTTGTTATAATTAACCTTAAGTAAAATCCTCTGTAACTTTCTTCTAAGTGACTGAACTGGCTTTACTGAAACACTCAACTTCTCAGGACAGAAAATACAGGCACAAAGTGCTGGACAAATGTGAGAATGGCCTATTGCAAACCTCCCTCCTCCCCAGGACACGCACATGCCCCTTTCCCTATTATGAGTCGGGCTGAGACTTTCCATTCCGCTCTTATTCCTGGACAGGAAATGGAAAGACAGGAAATGGATGGATGGTATGGGAAAGGCTCCCAAAGACCAACCACAGTCCCTGCAGCCAGCCCAGTGTTTCCCTCTGAATCCCCAGGGGCTCCTGTTGTTCCAACTGTCACTGGCTTTTTTGCTTTGTTTGTTTTGTTTTGGCACCTGAGAACCCATACGTGCTCAGATTGCTGGAGTCCCACTAGCTGGAGGTTCATTTCAGGGGTAGATAGTCTCTGGTTCTCACTTAGTCTTGATTCTCCACACCAGAAGCCTGCTGTGTGGGTGATGATGTAAACCCCTCTCACCCACACAGCACCCCGTGTGAAGAAGGTCAGGGGTGGGGGAAACCCCTCTGTGGTCTAACAGTTTTTCTTAGTCTATAGATTCTGGGTAGGTAGTGGTTATTTTCATTTCTAAGAAGCATACTTTTTTGGAGGGTGAGGAGGCTGCATATTTTACCATTTCTGAAACCTGGGTTATTTTAGAATAGACAGTATCTGAGGGTTGATGAAAAATACACTCTAAAATGTCTGGGCTATAAAGAAGGGAGCCTACATTGCCAGGGTTGCCCCACGGCTCAAGGCTTGTCCTGGTACTCTTGGGGCAGCTGAAATGTCACCATAGGTCTTTTAATTGCATTTCTCCTGTTCTTACACTGGGTAGCACAGGAAGGCTGCTGGCATTTCCTATCTCTTCGGATAAGTGCAAAAAATGAAACTCTGGGTCGTGTGGGTTTGGCTGTCATTGAGTCACCCGGCAGTCACGGTGGGTAGAGTTTACCAGGATGGAGGTGCCACCCACACTCTTGGCTGAGCTGCCCTGGCTCTGAACTCTCTCTACCTGGAAACCAGAAAGGGAACCTCCCACCTTAAGAGACAAATAGGTCAGAGTTGTTTATTTTTAATTCTTCCAAATGAGCAGGCTAATCCAATATTTCCTGGTTGTTCTTTGTCTCTGCTTCCAGGGCAGCCCTGTGGAAATCCTTCCCTTCCTCTACCTTGGAAGTGCCTACCATGCATCCAAGTGCGAGTTCCTAGCCAACCTGCACATCACAGCCCTGCTGAATGTCTCCCGGCGGACCTCCGAGGCCTGCACGACCCACCTACACTACAAATGGATCCCAGTGGAAGACAGCCACACGGCCGACATCAGCTCCCACTTTCAGGAAGCAATAGACTTCATTGGTAGGTTGGGTCTTCCCCCTCCATTATTTTGGGAGCCCCTTGGAGCATGCCTTCTTGGTTTTTTGATGTGCTGATGGGGGGACTACCTTCTCTGAGTGAGAAATGCCCTGTGTATGCAACCACCAAGAGTTGACACCAAGAACAGATACGGCAGAGGGAGGACTTGAGCTGCTATTAATAGGAGCTTTAGTTTGCAAGATAAATGAATTAATATAATTTTATGGCTATACTCACTGCTGCTCTTGTTTTGTTTCAAGTTGGGCGGGAGCAAGAGTATGTCCATGCGTAATGCTTCACACGAGGAAAGGGGGAAGCGGGGCTCCCTAACTGTGTTTGTACGTAGGTTGGGATATTTTTAAAAGCAAACAGAAGGATCGAGAGAGCGCTACTTACGCACTGAGCCTGGAGGGCCCAACAGCTTTCCACAGTTTTGGCAAACAGCTTTGGAGGCAATTTGTTTTGCATTTTCAGCTAATTTTGGATTAAAGATAGCACTTGACTCAAGCTCCATGCTTTGTGCACAGAAAATTTGGCATCTTCTACATCCTTTCTGCATTCCTATGAGGCAGTTATCATTTACTCCATTGTGCAAACCTGAAAACAAGGCCGTAGCCTTCACCCCTCTGCCTGGAAAGAGCTTTGGCCTTGGGGTTTCCAGGCACTTGAGGTTGCTTGGATTGTCCTCCTGTTTGGTGTCTTCTCTTTCTCCCATATCTCTTTCCCTGCGGGTCTGGCCTAACTTTTTTTTTTTTTTAATCCCACATTTGCAACACTACTCCCTAACCTTGTGGTCTTAAGAGGACTTCTGTCTTTTTAACATGCATAGTTGTTGGTACTGAGGCTTGATTTTCCTTGTATCACGTTCTAAGGGATGTTGAAGGAGGAAAGACAGGTGTTAGGCACAGCATAATTACTTGGTGCAGATAGCAATTAAAGGGCCCTTCTTCAGCCACATGGTAAGCCCTGTGCTCATCACACACAATTTCTGCTCCATAGGAAACCTTGATGAGAAATTCACCAGAGGCAAAAGGTCAAACCTGTCCTCATTGTCCCCTGAGCCTCCAGGCAGAAATGATCCCTTTAGAGCCTGAGAAGCAGCCAAAATGATGGGTTCTGGGTGGGAAACCCTTGACTTGCTCTCCCGGTCCCTGGGAAGGCTCTGCCCTCCTAGGCCTCTTATTTAATTACCTAGATAGCTGCTGCATGAGGTCATGAAACTCGCCCCCATCCAGCTCACAGAACTGTCCCTCCCAGTCCTGTGTGTATATTGTGTGTGTGTTTGTGTACAGTCACATCACCCCACAGGGTTTCAAAAGTACACAGTGTTTTTTCCCAGACACCTTGCCCTGCTAATGGAAGAGGCTGAGCCCTGTGCTGAAATATGCACCAACCCCTTCCAGATGAAGAGTCCTATAGAAGGCAGGCCCCTGAGCTGTAGAGAAGCAGTGCATTCTGGGTCCTTTGCCCACTAAAAGCTGGACTCAAGAGGGGAAATGAGTGGAAGAGCAAAGGAAACGAAGGCACAACCCTGTAATCCTAGGGAGTTGGGGGTCTCCCCTTGAAAATGATTTATAAGAACTTTTGGTTTTTTTGTTGTTGTTGTTTTGAATTGATTGGATTGGGGGTACCTCTCATGAGCTACCTTGGGTATACTTTGGAATTTTTTGGTTCACATGAGGAATCTGTAGTGTTCCTCCCTGAGCCTTAGATATTTCATCTTCTAGACATTGCAGATTCATTTGCAAACTTCTTGAACTTGGAACAGATGGGCGAGGATGTAAGGGGGCTCCCCTACCTGCTGCCTTCAAAAATTTTGTTTTTGCCTACTGCAGCCTCACAGAGTGCTAGCTACATCTAACTTCCTGTGATGTAATTGTTTCCTCATTAGCTAAAGGGGGAATTGGAAGGACTGTTTTTTGTGGTCTTGTTGATAATGTTCACCTTTTACCCTTTCCCATTTTTAACAGTTGTAGTTCTGTTTTGCTGGGAGGGTTAGAGCAGGAAAGGAGGGGCCCCCTTTTGGTCACATTGAGCTAAAGAATGCTAACTGATGGTGGTAGCTTTATAGTAGTGACTCCCATTGTTGAGCAACATGGAATTTGCAAAGGCCATTTATATCCTCCGTCTAGTAAGCGTCACTTAGCCAGGGCTATAATTAGTGGCCATGTGCTATTTATCGTATGTTTGGTGGTGAGAACCCTAGGAGCTGAGCCAAGCATCCCGCCCTGGCACAGCAAGACAGGGTGTCCAGGGAGGCCAGGAGGTCTCTACCAGGATTGGGGCTAGGTTGTCATTAGAATCCGACCTGGAGAGAGGCAAAGAATTACTTCTCCGAGTAAGGCTTTGAGCCTGGGAGGCTCTCAGAAAATTTGTGCATATGCAATAAAAATTTGCGTATGCTTTCAAGGATTTTCTAGTTCCTTCTTGAACCCCACCGTTGGAACCCAAGTTAGGATGGAATCCCCGGAAGGGATTCCTCCAGGTCTAGCATCTCCCATGGCAGAATCTGCAGATGTTCTAGGGAACTGGGGAGTAGCTGTGAGTATTAAATACTTCCTACATCTGTCCTCACCAGTAGGGGCTGAAGACCAGCAAATGTCCAGTATGGTACCATGGCTCTGAGCAGGCACGAGGATGTGATAACTAGGTGACATTACTGTTTAATTCTTGTGTTTCAATTCCAGTTCTCACCATTCCCAATCTCTTATCTTCCTTTCAGACTGTGTCAGGGAAAAGGGAGGCAAGGTCCTGGTCCACTGTGAGGCTGGGGTTTCCCGGTCGCCCACCATCTGCATGGCTTACCTCATGAAGACCAAGCAGTTCCGCCTGAAGGAGGCCTTCGATTACATCAAGCAGCGGAGGACTGTGATCTCACCCAACTTCGGCTTCATGGGCCAGCTCCTGCAGTATGAATCTGAGATCCTGCCTTCCACGCCCAACCTCGCAGCCTCTCTCCTGCCAAGGGGAGGCAGCAGGCTCCCCATTTATAGACCATTTGCAGACACTGAGCCCTGACGTGCTGGGCACCTACTGCACATTCCCTACCTCGGGGCTGGCTCCAGTGCCCACCCACTCAACCGTTGCAGAGCTCCACAGGGGCCCTGTGGCCACCGCCACATCCTGCTAAGACTGGGGTGGGGTGCCAGCCCAGCCCCAGAGCAACTGTGATTTTGTTTTTTAAACACGTGGACATTTCACACCTGTGCAATACTGAAGACCTCTCTCTGTCTCACTGCCCCGGTAAGACACTGAGCGGTTATCAGGTTTGCAGACAAACTTCAGACTGACCTCACAGAGAGGTTCTCGGGACTGAAGGAAGGCCAAGCCATTACGAGAGCACCGTGTGTGCTGACTACTGTACTTCCAGACCCCCTGCCCTCTCAGGACCTCCTAGTCCTTGCACCTCAAAGTTCGCCTTTTCATTTCAAGCATAGGCAATAAACACCTGCAGCAACAGGAAAGAGAGAAGTTGCTGGACCAGGAGAAAAGGCAGTTAGTTAGGAAGCCAATTCATTTTAAAGGAAGCACAATCTCCATCTTACTTTTTTGAACTTTGACAGTCTCAGTCTCTCTGTTGCTTCGGGTATAAGCTGATCACCGCCTAGTCAGGAAAGTTACCCTGCCGGATTGGTAGGGACACCCTGGATATGCTGATTTGAACCCTGAAATGTTTGTGAGATGCCCTCTGGGTCCAACGGAAACATTTGGTTGAAGTTGCAAGATGTTGACTCTTCTGGGTTTCGTTTTCACTGTGGGTTCTTTCCTGACCTTGGACTTTGGCATGATTCTTCATCATACTTGAACCAGTCTCGTTGCACCTCTCTTAAAACTCTGGTGTCATTCGAAAAGGGTTTTCAGACCATAGACCAAAAATCACCCCTTTGAGGTGGCAGTGGGTGCCTGGAGAAAAAGGGTACCTGCTGTGTCTTCTGGGTCAGTGGCATTGAAAACAGTCCTTTCTCTGCTTGCTGTCCTTCTGTGTGCTTGTGTCTCATTTCTTGTGACACTTGTTTTCCTCCCAGCCCCTGGGGGTTGTCTTCAAGCTACTGACTTCTGGGATTTGCAGATTGTTGCAATGTGGTACTACTTTTCTGTCTGTAGATTATTTCTCCAGGGGAAAAGGCAATAATTTCTTAAAACCCATGTGAATGTGAAGAAAAGGGGTATGTTACTGGTTGTTATTGTTTTTTTATAGTGCAAAATAAAAATAGTTAAAGGAATCGGCACTTCTTCATGTTGTTGGTGAGTTGGAGTAAAGTGGGGATGCCTTTGGATCAGAGCCAGCCTGCTGCACTGAGTTTCATTTCCAAATAGTAGGATGAAATGGTGGATATGTAGCTGTAAGCTTTTCACTCATGAGTCTGTGATTGAAACAAGGACACAAAATGCTGCTTTTCATCTGGGGGGGGGGGGCTTCCCTAAGCTAACAGGCACAGGCTTCACAGGGAAGTGGTTGGAGCATCTGTTCACTCTGGGTTCCTCAATCCCATCACCCCAAGATAGTGAATTTGGCTGGAACCTCAGATGCCTCATGTGTGAAATGGAATGAACTGAGCTAGATGAAAGTCCACGTAAGCACAAGGCCCTGGATTCTAGCAAACCTGGGTGCCAAGCTGTCCAATCTCCTCTCTCCCTGCCTAACACATGCAACTAAAAAGTCTGGATAGAAGGTGTTGGGATGGAGATGTGAACTACATGAAGTTGTTTGACATTAAGATCCTGTCCCCCCAGCCCCTTTTTAACCTTGCAACTAATTCTTCCAGGAAATTTACTCAGTAGTTTCTGGGTAAATCCCACAGTGAGTGGGTTTAAATCCAAGGCAGACTCAATTTGACGTCTAATGTCTTCTGCGTTGGTGGAGAAAGGAGGGAGCAGACTCCTCACAGCACTGCCTATGTCAAGTGTGTCTTGGGGCCTACTTCCCAATCTGGGGTTGTAGGGAACTGATTGGGATTGATGCCACCCTAGACAACTGATGCCTGACACCCACCGGGATTCCAGCTGTACCCCTCAATTCAGGAGGGCCCAAAGAGGCACTCTGTGTTGTCAAAGGTCAAGATGGTAGCAGAGCCCAGGTTAGCCCGGCCTTCTCAAGAGCTCACATCAAAGCCTCGCTTGAGGCCTTGCTCTCTCAAATCGCCCTCCACAGGCTACTTGGAAAGCATGGATGAGAAGCCTGCACACTGGGGAGGCTGAATTTCTTTCAATTGTCTCCCTTATCTGCTTAATCTAAGTGGGGTTCTCATGGTGAGGAGCACTGAACAGGGAATAAGGCGTCTCAAGATCCAGCCCTCCCTTCACCCCTAACTCCAGTGTGTGGGAGCTAATCTCCACCCTTTGTGGACCAGACTTCAGGGCTTGGGATAGCTGTGCCTGATCCCTTCTGGTTTCACATCTGTGAGCCTCTAGTCAGTGTCAGGGTATGATCTGCAGCCTGTCCAGGTGCCTAGTGAGTGGGGGTAGGGGGAGCTCAAGCAGGGAGACCCAGACTATAGACAAGTACAGGCTGGGGTGATAGGCTAAGCCGTGTCCCACTTGCTGACATTTGCCTTATTGCATTAAAGTCTTTCTCTGAAGACTGAGTAAGTCCTCTAAATCAGGCATATGAGAATTGCTCATAAGCCAGTGAGTCCCTGGGGGCGGCGGCGGGGTTAAGCCAGTGAGCTCCACAGCTGGGGATGGCTCTGTAACTCTCACTCCACTAATATTCTCTTCATTAATTATACCTCCGTTTTTGCCAAGATCAGCTTTACACTGCTTCCAGTGCCAGATAGGGAGTTGAAGCTGGTGGGACTCAATTGAAACATCTCTGTTGATTTCCAGCATCCTCAGGTAGAGATGTGTCTGGGAAAATAGACGCGTTCCCCTATTCTATTTCCTGCTGCTTCTGTGCATGCAGCCCTGTGGGTCCATTCTGGCCTCTGAGTTAGGCCTGATGGGGGTGGAAGATGTATAAGAAGCCTCAACCCAGTATCCAGTGTGCTGGCAGAAGTCCTGTGCACCCACAGGTCTCCTTGTGCAGGAACATGGAAAAATGTCTCCCTGACTCTGATACCCCAACCAGCTGTAGCTCCTGAAGTTGCTGGTGGTTTATTTTCTGAACACCATAAAGCTCATGTGCCTGTTTTCCTTTTTGCTCAGGTAACTAGGCAGCTCAGAATTGAACTCTGAGCCCACCCCTGTTTTATAGGAGCTTCTGACTTGTGTTTTTCGTGTTGACGCCACCTTGTTTATATTGAAGTTTTCCAATTTTATTTCCCCTTCCATTTCCTCAGTGACTCAAATAACAACAACAATGTACCCTTCAAACCCTATTTAAAGATTAAACATAACACAATGTGCTTATGGAATGAGGTGGGTATAAAAAGAAAAAGAAAGAAGCCCCTGTGTCTCTTCTCACCCCGAGAGATTCATCTATGGGACTGGTTTCCTTTGCTTTCTTAGTGACTGCCAAATTCTGTGTTTCTTTCTGGGATAGATTCTGTCCAGAACTCTACCTCTTGGTTGAGGCATTGGCCCCTTGCCTCAGAATCTCTGCCACTGCCCTCTACTTTGACCCTTACCAGTACCCTTTGGGGAACCCTGGCGTGGATGGACACATTGCTCAAAGCTCTAAGACTGGGATGTGATAGAAGTGATTCCTCTGTCTAGATAACTGTCATCTGTCCATCCAGTAACCTGAGTACCTGCTAAACCTGGGAATCAAGGAGGAGCAAGGGCCACGTGGCTGCACCTTCAAGGACTTCATGATTCTGATGACCCTTCACTGGACTTTTTGTCCTAGACTGGAGTTGGCCTCCACAGTTGGACCAATGTCCCCTAGGCCCCCTCCCCCAGCCAGCTCTTGCCCTAGGTTCCAACTCTGTCCTCTCTTATGTGTGTTTCATACCCCAAATCACCAGAATACCAACCTGTGGACATGGCTGTGGTACCTGTGCTAACAGCCCAGACCCTGTCCTACATTACATCACATCTTAGGTGTTCTTCCTTTTTATCAATTCTGTATTTTTTTTAATGAATATGGTATTAGTCTTGCCCTTACCTCCACCCCCAGTGGAGTGAAAAAAGTAGCCTCCCCTCCCCCCCCCTTTTTTTTTTTAAAGAAATGCGCTCTTATGGAGCCCTATCCCTTTCCCAGCCATTTGGCTAATATAAAAAGTATGCATTAAGTACTTTTATATGCCATAAACCATGATAGGCAGGTACATAGGCATCATCTCATTTAATTTTCATCAGAGACTTGTGCAGAAGTTTTTATTATCTTTATTTGCAGATGCCCAAAACAACCTCAGAGGTATTAACTAAATAACTTTCCCAAGGCCACGTGGCTAGTAGAGCCAGAATGAAGCTATTTCAATGTTGTTGTACTCTTCTGAACACTGAGGCTTACAATAGATGCTTCTGTCCATTGGGCTTTGTTGGCAATAAAAAGAGTCCCCTCAGGCCACATTATGGAAAGAGTTTAATACACAGTTACACCCAGTTCTAGCCCTTTAAACATGACATACTCCCTTCTGCCTCAGGACTTTTGCACACACATGTTTCTGCCTGGAATACCTTTTCCCTTTAACTCATTAACACCTACTGGTCCTTCATTTCACAGCTCCAACTTTGATTCCCCAAGCAAGCCCTCCAAGACTCCTAGACTGGGCCAGATGTCCCTATTAGATCTCCCTATGTATTTCCTTCATATTTTGCCAAAGTTTAAAATTTCACTTTTCTGTGATTATTTTAATGCCCATCTCATCTAGACCATAAGCCCTAAGAGGGCAAGAATTACATTTATTTAATTTAATTTAATTTTTGCAGTACTGAGAGTTGAATTCATGGGCAGTTACCTCTGGGCTACATTCCTAGACCTTTTTTTTTTTATTTTGAGACAGGGTCTCACTAAGTTGACAAGGCTGGCCTGAAACTTGTGATCCCCTACCTCAGCCTCTGAAGTCCCTGGAATTGCACGAGTGTATGTACCACCATGCAGGGCAGGAATCGCATTGATTTGAAAAGTGACTTAGCACAGTTCTGATTTATGTTAGGTGTTCAATAAGAATTGTTGAGTGAAGGAGTGAATACAGAAAAAAAAACTGAGAATGAACAGCTGTCAGAACCAGAAGCTGCCCTCTCTATCTTGGAGCCCCTGAACCCTCTGCATGTAGTCTCCTTTACCCCAGGGCTACTTGCCAATTAATTACCAAGATCTGGTTAATTACTGCTACCTCATTAGTTAGAATCCACGGCACCACATCATCTTATTGTTCACTGATCAGCTTATGTGTGGGCTGTGTTTGGGTCAGATGAACCAGTTTCTTCTACATCAAAGACCTGCTAGCTCAGACTCCCTAGATGCGGGCTATGGGTAAGGCAGTTTCAGGTAGAAAGGGTGGCCTTCCATACATTTGACTTTCTTATTATGTAAAATGCTCAATTAGTGCCCCTTGCTTGAGTGTCCCATAAGAAAGCTCAGAAAAAAACATGTGAAACCTTCTGTACCCATCCTGTTTCCCCTGCAGCAGCACCCCAAGGTGACTTAACTATGGTAACTAATCTTCCTTCTTTCTTTACTTATTGTGCTGGGGTGGAACCTAGGGGTTTGCTCATGCTAAGCACATGCTGTACTGCTGAGCTCCAGCTCCAGCCTGGGAACCTAATTTAAAATCCTAGCTTATTGGCAATATCAGGTCAGGTCCTTTTCCTTCTTCCCCACCCCCAACACCCATGCATTCACTTAAAAAGGTTTACAGAAACCAGGAAGCCACCAAATGGGGCCTTGAAAGTAAACCCTTGAAGTATCTGAACACTTTTATTCTGGGCTTTCCAGCAGCAAGGAGAAAATGTGTTGCTTGGGAAGAACAAACCTTCCTGATAGTGAAACCTCAGATACATCACTATGATGAAAAGATGAAAAAAATTGATCTCTCATCCAAAAGGAAAGAAAAGTGGCCTTAGAATCAGGAAATATGACTGCTGGTGCCAGATCCTAGGGAACATTATTGCTTGGGCCTGAAAGGAGAGATGTCCCCAAAGACAACAGGTATGCATGTGAGGGTCAGTGTGGGGATTATGGGATAAGTGAGAGCTGAGAACAAGTCTCCTAATCCCCACAGATGCCAGGATGGAAGTAATTTCAAAAGGTCATGTAGTTTCTGTCTCCTGCTTCAGAAAAAAACACCTCCAAACTTGCCCAGAATTCCTGTTTTCTATAGAAAAGCAAGGGAGGGGAGGACAG